CTTGTTCATCATTTTATTCTTCTTCCTTCAATCCTCTCAAACCCAACCACCACACACTCTAATGAAGGAGCACCTAAGATAGCCCTAGATGACATGGAGAGGCTGAACGGGAGATCTTTCCTCTGAAATGCTGAATTGTAGGGTTTGCAACTGGCTGAATGTGCTACAGGACAAGGAGGACGAGAGCAGGCCTGCTGAAGTCTGAAGCCCTTCAGAAGATTAAAGAAGAGACTGATACAGGACCATCTGAAGCCCAGGAATCTAAAGAGAAGGGCCATCCTTTCCCCACACCCACCCCAAGGATAAAAGATAGCACCAGAGCCAAGGATGCAGAGAAGGGGAAAGAGAATCTGCTTCAGCTCAAGTCAGGATTTGAGGATTTGCGAATTTAATGCCTTCCTCCTCCAGAGACTCCAAGAGGAATGACCTGAGTGTGGGCGAAGGGTGTAAGAGCCAGCCAGAAGTTACCTTAGCTAGGCATCATACACTAAGAGAGGCTTCAAGATAACTAAAAATAGAAATCAAGGATGATTTCAACCTAGGACTAACAGGAAATGTTAACTGTGGCTGGTTCGGAATCAAAGTTATGGCATGGAAGTGTCAGGATATCTCCGGCTCACAAACGACTATGGACAGATGGTGTTGCTGGAGCCTAATAATCTGGACGGTAATTGGAGCTGCAATGCAGGTATATGTCCCCTGAGTATAATAAGTACACTACTGGTCCATTCTGACTGCTTGTGTGTTTGCTGTAATTGGCAAACACTATTTTATTTTATGGAGAGAGTCTTGGACAAAGCCTGTTAAAATCAGATATCATATGAGATTCCCAAAAGTGTATATGGGGTCAAAGAGTTTTCCGGAATGAAGGACTAAGCACCTTACCTGTGTGGCAGTGGGACCATCCTAGCCCGAGGAGAAAGATGACAGTTCAGTAAGAGATTACCAAGTTGTGTGGGCACTTTAGGGACATGGTTAAAACCTGCTATGTCCCCTCTTACCTCAAGTATGGCAGTAATCCCCTTTCTGCCACACTGCATACCATCATCCTCAATTTACTCTACATATCCACCCCAGAATAATATTCCTACTCTATCAGTCACTGATTTGACTAATTTTTGAGCAAGAGAAGAACAAAATGGCTCACCATTACCTGGAGTACAAACTCTTTAGCCTAAATTACTTATTCTCTAATACTTCTTAAAAGGAACTCTTTCTTCTAACCAAACTGGATCACCTGTTATTCCTAGAAAACAAATTATGTTTTCCCATCTCTATGCCTGAAACTACTCCCTTACATTTCACCAAGGACAGAAAAGATGAGCCTTTTCTCAATTCTCATTCTCTTTAATCTTTAGTTCCTTTTTGCTGCTTTTGACTCACTCCCC